GGGGGGGGGGGAGGAACCCGCCATAAACAATGTCATGAGATACAATTGCACCAAATTACCTCTACTCAAATATAATAATACAAAAAAAGATGATCTTTTTATAATTCAGCAAAAGATAAGCAATTTTACATGATCCGTTTTCATGAAAACAAATTATGATCAGAATGAAAAAAGAGGTAATTACCAGATGATAAATGTGCTATGCCAGCCGAACCTTTCTCCATTATATTTTTCCTTCTTTCTTCTCTTTCCATAATCTACCAACCTTTTTCTTCATCTCGATAAGCCAATAGCCTCTGCTCCTTCAATCCTTAATACAAAAAACTCAAAAATTTTGTTGATGTGTATTGTTGTTTCTCTGCGCTTCGTGTCGTGTTCTCCGGTTATACCTCCTCTTAGACCAGTGTAGGCTAGTTTCAAATTGGGCCGTTTTCTGTCGAGTAAACATTTTCTTAGTTGGGGGCCCAAGAAAGTGTGATCTGGCCTTTTAAGTTTTTTATTGGGAAAACTATATTGTATTACCGCTCCTAAAACTAATACCTATATACTGTATATAATTAATGTAGTAATATATAATAAGACCTCTCGATAACAGTACTTCTTTATAACAACACTTCATTATACCATTTAAGTTTTCTTTGGAATCAATATTTCGTGTTATGTTATATTATATGTTCTTTATAAACACTTTAATTCAGCAGCCAAAAAATATTAAAATAAACGAGATTGTTATAGAAAAGTTTAACTCATGTATGTATATTGGCTAGAGAATAAATGTGTAGCTTCTTCTTTTTTACTTTCTTTGACTGTCCTTTTTGCAACTCTTCTTCTTCTTTTATTTTTTTTTGTTCTTTCGCTTCGAACCTATGACTCCTTGCTTTACTTGCATCTACATAATTTCTAAGTAACTTTTACTTACGAATATAGAGCTTCTCTGTTGAGTTCTAAAAAAATAAATCAATCTTAAAAATTAGCCCATGAGATAAGAATTTCTAAAGGGATTTTTACCTATCTATACTATATATCAAACCTTATTACCTTCATTGTTTAAGGGTTGTGTTAATTACATTTAAGCATACCAAATTACCATTTATATACCATAATTTAAATTAAGGGTATAATTATTCCTTCATTTATTGTAGGCGTGATTTTAGGACCGTATTTTCACGTTTTTTCGTTTAC